GATGCATGATCAATTATTACATTGTATGAATATTCAAATGCTGTCTTGTATACCTTTTTTATTTCTTCTAGAAATTGGTTTATATTTTGAACACTGCTATTGTTTATTTGAATCTTATTAAAAATATAATTCAACCAAAAATCATATGAGATTAACATTTTTGCTAATTTATATTCAATATAAATGAAGGCTTTTTTTGTGGTTTTATGAATAACAAAATTTGCTTTCTTGAAAAATAAGCCTTTACTGAATCTTGTGCCAATACATTGAAATATAGAAGCTGTTAGCATCAGATCAATTAGTAATGAGTTTCTGACATCATATTTTTAAATCTTTGCTTTTAATTCTTTCTAATCAAGTTTGTTACAAGGAGCTGCATTCTATAAATCAAATTGCAAAATTCCTTTTAAAATAGGTAAACCTTTATATCCTTTATATAGTTTATATTTTTTTGCTAACTCATATAATTCTTCTAATGCTGTATAATAAATATGTGCAAAGATTCATTTGTTGAGTTCATATGCTTTATTGTCTTTCTATAATAATTTAAATTTCTTGTAAAGAGTTGCCAGACCAATTACTTTAATAGCAATTGGTTAGTCATTCTTGTTTATAACTTCACATTCATCTAATGAATAATATGTAAGATCGATTGTTTTATTACAAGAGTTTATAAGAAAACAGACTAAATCTTGTAATTCTATAAAATCAAATTTATTTTCTTCTGAAATATGTGTTGAAAGAATCACTGCACATAGATTACAAACAGAAATTCTATTTGTATATTCAATGATCTCAGTATATAGATTAGTAGTTGTTACTATACCAAGATTTATTTGATTTAATTTCTTGTTTGCATTATTAACAAAAAAGATGAATGGTTCTCCTGTTATGCATTGCAACTAGTTGATTTCGAAAAATAATTCTCTTGCTTTAAAAGTCTTTGTATTTTGATGATTGGTTTCACATGCAATATATGCAGTCTCAAACTCATTACCATACATTTCATTCAATTTTTTGCCTAAAAAGACTTCTGAATCTTTAGGTGAAAAGGTGGTTCAATCACCATCTTCTAGTATACATTTCATAAATAGGTCTGGAATTGAAACACAATGATGCAGATCTGCTAAACATAATTTTGGTATAATCAATTTATGATGAATGTACAGAAAGTCTATTATATTTTGATGCCAGATTACAAGTGTTACTATTAATGCACCTTTATGTTTATTACTATCTTGGTTTACATTGTTCATGGTAGCATTAAAAACATAAAGCATCTTGTTTAGACCTGTTAAGTATTTATTAGTTCCTTTAATATAATCACCTTTTGAGTAAATATTTGTTATATCAATACCAATTCTATCACTATTTTTGGATATCATAGAAACTTTTTTTAAGCTTTTATAAATTTCTTCAATAGAATTATCTTTAATCTGAGTCAAAAAACAGCTAGCAAGTTGGTTCTTTGTCATGCATGAACTTGTGCGAGTAGGTGTTAGTATGCTTATTTTGTTCATTGACATCTTGTAACATTTTTTAAATAAATCAAAATTATCATAATAGAATTGTAATGCACATCTCATGTGCACATACTGTACACAATCAACTTCTTTATTACCAACTTTCAGAAAAAACTTTTCTTTATTTCATGCATATTCTATATATTCATTATTATATTCTCTTCTAAAATTAATAAGAGAATTAAAGAATTCTGCATTGTTTATTACAATATCATGATATTCTTTTCTTATTAATGGAATATATTCTTTTACAGTATAGTTGGGCATATTACCAAAATTGGAAATCAAATCTAGAATACTTTATTGAAGATTCTTAAAATTTGATTGGCTCGTATCAGCTTATATCGATCTTCTTCAATGCAAATTGAAACTTTGTACAATATTCATTTTGCAACTTATAACTTATGAACTAATAATAAAAAAACTCTAGTTTTATGATCACTAATGATCATTTCGAGATCAATGTTTTTTGAAAAAGTAGATCAGAGCTTAAAATTTAAAAAAATTAAGATTTTAACTTAACAAATAACTTTTTTTTTTTTTTTTTAATATTAGCAATATTAAATTTAAACTATGTCATATCTATTATCAGCTCAACAAAAGCCAAAGACTGAAACTCTACCTTGTATATTTTTTAAATTAGTTAATAAGTATTATAATAAGATCAGATTAAGTCTTTATAAGACAAAGAAAAAGCAAATTTGGTGAAATGCTAATTCTTTAGAAGCAGTTAGATGACTTGAGCTATTTGTTGATTTCATACCAGAACTTAATGATTTGCTTTTAGAATCTTATTATTATTCTGTTTGCCAACTGCATTATAATGAAGTTGTATCTAAGGAGCAATTTTATCAATAGCTTTGTCATGAAAATAAAAGACCTTGGATTGATACTACTTCTATTCAAGAGATAATCACTAGTGTTGCATCACAATCAACAGTCAAGTTTGGAAAAATGAAAGAATTGGGCAGAAGTAAAACGGGAAATCAAGATGAGTATATAATTCTTCTTACTAACACAATTTCAGAGTTATATCAGCAAGTAGAAGAACAAAAACAGGAAATATCAAAATTAAAAAATCAAATAAGTGGATATTGTGAATAAATAATTAGATTAAATAATTTTTTTTTTTTTTTTATTATTATTTTTTTTATTTTTTTAAAGCTGATATTATTGATAGCTACCATCTTTATTTGTGTTTTTGGTCAATGTATTATATGTGACTTGTACAAGGTAAGTGTGCAACTAGCCATATGTGTAACTTTTGGTTACCTATTTAAGTAGTTCACTCAAGGGTTCTACACTAGCTGTTATGCCTGTAACCTACTAGAAAAATACCTATTTAAACACTCTGATCCTTATACTACACCCAAACAAGTAACACCTTGGTTCCTATACAATTAAGTGCTATCTAACCCAACATTTAGCTATCCTCTTTTGTCATCTGTCAAGTCATTAAATATTTCAGAATATGTTACCTGACTGTAAGGTTCTGAAGTATCTTCTTGTTAACTACCTACTCACTTTACAGAACATTAACAAGACTAGCCTTTATAGAGTTCACCCAAACCCTAGCACCTACTTCATAGCATATTCCTAGTACTTATAGTATACCCTTGCTTTGACTCCAGACTTCCAATCCAGATAGCCTAG